CACTAGATTGATTATGGTAAGTGCAACATCTTGTAACGGTTAAGAATCCACAAACACAAAGGTGAATGGCAAAAACCATTCACATTCAGAGGCAACAGTGCACAACATCATTAACAAGGATATCTAGAAAAGTGGCACAAGTTGCTTCCACAGCAAACTGGTCAACAGCCACACACCTCAAGCAGCTGGAGAATTAAATGAGTATTCATGCTATTCCACACAAAATCATATTGGTCAGTGTGTAGAAACAAGTCATTGGGAAACCATGTCCTCGTACATTAGATGGGTTTTGCAGAACAAGAAGGGAGGAGTGTTGTGCTTTGGGCATGACAGCCTTGCTACGGAGGGCTATTATCAAGATACATGATTGGCAGGTAGAGCATGACTAAACATAACAAAATGGACTGTTATAGCATGTCGACTCCAAAATTGTTTAAATATATCAACCTTTGTATTTGTATCTTATTTCACTGGAAAAATTATGCTGACTTAAGTTATTAGTAGTAGAATCCTAACAGCAATATCAGACCTTCTTTCACTCGAATCATCACACTGGCCTAAGTTATCAATAGTATTTATTAGAATCCTAAAAGCAATATTTCATCCCTTTTCATTCTTTATTGCTATATAACAACCTAAATTAAGGTGATGTAAGACAGACAACCCCTTGCGAGTTTTGTTACCCATGATTGATCAATGAAAGTAACTGTTGTTTATTCATTTATGCATGGTTTTTGTTGTGAGTAAATATACGTTGTCACTTATCTTCTTATTTTTGTATACTTATATAAGAAACAAACTGGATGAATTTCCTTGTTTTAAGGTATGCAACATTTTTCAAGACTTTGAGAAGAACACTAAACCTCATTCTTTAAGGAATTTAAAAGCCTGTTTGTTAAAGCAACATTGAATTGATTACCTATAAATATTGTACGTTCAGTTCTTCCAAAGACAATTGAAACTAGAATTTTTTTCCAACACTGTGTTGCTAAACAGCAGTGAAATATAAAAATATCCAATGTATTCATGATGTAAAAAAAAACACATAGGTTCAAGAAGTTCTGATAGAAATGAATAAAAACCGTATAACCTGAGCACTTTCAAAAGGTGAACGTTTCTTCTTCAGGGGCAAACTGGGAATCCAATGTATAATATTCGTAGAGAGGGCATCTGTGTATAAAGTTAACTTGATGAACCTTTCTGTTATTCATTTGTTATCCAATGGCAGAGGTTTCTTCTGTTATCCAATGGCTACTTCCTCCTCTGTTATTAAATATTACTGCCAAGTTATCCAATTGCTGACTTTCCTTTTTTTTCATTTAATAATATACAGTATTGAAAGTAAATATAGAAACAAAGAACCAAGTGGGTATATAATGCAAGTTATATCATGCAAACCTGCACAAATATAAGCACAATGAAAATATGCTAAGTCAAATTAAATCATTGACCAGAACATTAATATTTGATATGTAAGCCCTTTGCTTTATATAGAGCTCGACGTCATGCTTTTGTGTTTCAATACAGTTGATCAATGAATGAATGTGGAATATTGTTCCAAATATCCTGTAATACTTTCCACAATTTACCCAAGTTGTTTGATTGCCACTTAACTTTCTCAGCATCCATTTAACCCAATATGGCCTCGATGATGTTCACATCAGAACTTTGTGAAGGCTACGACATCTTTCTGAGTGTTTCATTAGCATCTTTACATAGGTTTTTGCTAAGCTGACTGTATGCTTGGTGTCATCTTATGTTGAAAGATGAAACCCTGCCAAATGAGATGTAATCATAAGTGAATGGCATAGTGGATCAGAATCTGCCTGTACCTGTCAGCAGTCAGAGTACCTTCGATTTAATGTAAATCCTCAATACCCTTTCCTGAGATATAGCCCCACACCTTTATTGATTAACTCCCATACTTTACTGTACCTATCGTACACAGACTGTTTATACAGTTCACCAGTCTATCCTTCCAACAAACTGCCTTGGTTATTGTCAAATAACTTAAACTTAGACTCATCGGTAAAAAACACCTTTTTTTCACATCCTACTGTTCCACTTTTGTTGCCCATTTTAGTCTTTTTGTTTTGTTGTCTCTTCTCAGCAAAGGCTTTTGAGCAGCTAAATGCCCATTGAGACCATTTTGGGCTAACGTGTATCTTACTGTTCTTGAAGAAACTTTAACACCTGTTCTTGCAGCAAGATCTCCACTGATAATTACCTATCACACAGAAAATAACATACAACATTTTTGGATATCGATATCCTTCCTTGATCACTTCTATTGTAAACACTAGCAGGTTCACAAATCCTATTCAGAGTCCCACATATAACACTGGGTGAAACGTAAAGTTGGGCTGTTGATAAGAGTAGCCTTGGTTAATGTTTGAATTCTATAAGTTTGTCGAGTGTAATTTCATTCCCAGAGTCCATCATTTTCACCATATGTTTCAAACTACAATTGTATCACTGCCTATACTTATACAGGACCTGTGCTGGTTTGGAACTTTCAGACTGGTTGTTCGACACCCAATCATGTTATGAATGTCAACACAACACTGCAATAGTTAACATTTCATTTTTTACATAAAAGATATTATTCTAATATGTGTAACTTGCATTATATACTCACTTTGTCATCTGTTTGTGTAATTATTTCCAATACCGAGAATGATACTCTGCAAGTAGCTGGTGAATGAGGAAGTAGTAATCAGATGTACTGTCATTTATAATTAATGTACATCTAATCACTACTTCCTCCTTTGTCATTTATTATTAAATACATCTAACTGCCGAGTTTCCGTTTATTGTGTTATCCAATCGCAGTTGTTTTTGTAATTTATTATCAATAACAAGTTGAAGAGATCCTTTTCCCAAGAGTTCATAAATTACCTCTCTCTCTTTCTTAATTATATGAAAAAAAAAAAGGGTTCCAGAACGTTAATATATAAAACTTTTCAAGCTTATTGCATTGTTCTAAAATTGAAGATCTTTTAAAGTTATATTGTTCTTTATGCAAAGTTTCAACAGATTTATGTACATAATTTAATATTTAATAATTATAACACTTAAAATTTTGACAATTTCCAGTTCTTTGTTACTTATTCAAACCACTAGCTGAAACATTTACTTGTAAAATATTCATGTAGCCACCATACAACTATTTTTATAGGCTTAACCTGACTCCATGGTTAGTGTGTTTGGACTATGAATATGAGGCTTCATGGTGTGTTACAAGAGTGACAGCCAAACTCAGACAACAGTTGGATATGAATGCTGTTCAGCCTTGACTAGTTTGCCTTCCTTCTGGGATGGCTATATGCAGCTTTATGCAAAAATTCGAAAAAGAAAGGAACTTCCATATTATGTTGTTTTTTTGCTGTTTAATATCCTAATGCTAATTAAAAGATCAACAGCAATTTAATCAAATTTTTAATCCATATAACTAGAAATACAAGATATATCTTTCTGTGTTACCTATATATATTCAATATTGGATGAAACACCAAAAACAATTCCTGCAAACAATTATGTGTGAGACAAAAATGGCGAGCCTGAATCCACTGTTTTTCCTACTTGTTAGCATCCTTCGAACATGGACATTAAAATAAAGTTTATTGTTTTACAACTTAAAATTTTTGTTTGTTTGTTGAATTTCACGCAAAAGCCACTCAAGGGCTTTTTGCACTAGCCATCCTGAATTATAAAGTGAAAAGCCAGAGAGAAGGCAACTAGACAACACCATCCATTGTCATATCTTGAGTTACTCTTAACAGCAAATAGTCAGTTTGATATTAACATTATACCCCCTCCTAGTTGAAAGGGCACGTTTGTGGATAGGATACGATTCCACGGTCCGTTGTGATTGTGAGTTGAGTGTCATAACCATCTTTACAAGTTAAGAAAGTATGTTTTTACAACATCACGGTTAGTCCTACTTCATCCACATTTTTTAAGACACTAACGTATGTTTAGCGTGTGATCAGGAATGAATTTTCTCCAATTTAAAATGTTGTTCTAACCAGCTAGAATTCGGCCGTGTTCGCATCTGCTGGTATTTTTAATAAAGGGTGATATCTCTTACATCAAATAAAATTA